GAGTAATCCACATCTTTATATGATTGAGTGCCAGCTGGATCTAATTTTTTCAGATTGAAAGTTGACTCTGTTGCTCTCTCTCTGTAATGTAGCCGCCCTTCCAAACAGATCATTCAAGCTTCCTACCAGTTTGGTAGATTGTGTTGCACAATACCTGAAGTGTCAACCTTTATACCACCAGAGTTTACTTCACAGATCAAAGGAAAGAATCCAGCATCTACCATTCCAACACTTGATTTATTAGCAGCCATTTAATTACCAAAGATGATTTTAAAATCTATCACAAAGTGTAACACAGATGGTCAAGCAATTCTTAGTGCTGATATAGCTATTACAGGTGGTTGTAGTTGTTTGCCAGGTTCATTGGACCAATTGGTGTGAATGTGAAGCTCAAATGCCTGGAATTAAGTTCAAGATCACAGCGGTGTTGTGAGCAAAAGTTCTCACTAATCAACTTTTTATATCAAGGCAAACAAATAATAAAAAAAAAAAAAAAAATCAATCTGCGTAATCAGATTTAAATAGCTAGTAGAACACCTTTTTAAACTTATATTCTATTTTCACATTTATTTCTTCTTTCTTCTTGATCATCTTTCTTCTTTTCTTTTATTTTTTTTATTATTTCATTTTTTTTACAATCAACACAAATCATTAATAGCACACCCCAATTAGTTTTTTTTAATAACAAAAAAAGAACATCAAAATCACTAATCTCGACATTCAAAATTTCCAGTTTTTTTGATATATAACAGCTCAATTTTTTATAATTCTTTCTTTTTTTTAAAAAATCTACAGCCATTCCGATATTGCTTGTCGCACCTTTTTGAAAAAGAAAAAGTTTGTGAGCTTGAAACCTAAGTTTTAACCGGCTAAAACCTGGAATTTGGCTGTATTGCCTTGAATTACAGCCAAGTTTGAAGTTTTATTGAGTAAAAACAGGTAAAAACTTAGGTTTCACTTTTTCTTTTTCAAACCGGAGCGACAAGCAATATCGGAATGGCTGTACAACAAACATATAATAACTATTCTTTTCTTTTTTTTACGGTCGCGGTTCTTTCTATTTTTTCTTTTTTTTGGTTACGTTTCTTTTTTTTTACATAAATCAGGGGTGAATTGAGGGAGCAAGCAAGTGGGGTAAACATTAGCAATGCGGATGGAGAGACAACAAGACATATAAACTAATAAGAAGATTGGGTGAAATCAATTCGGCTGAAAAAAGAAATTTGGGTGAAAACAAATCGGCTTACGATAAAACTCATACCTCGGGTAGTCAAAGAAGTATTTGGAGAATCACTGAACATCCTATTTCAAACATTGATAACACTTGGGCAAGCTACCTACTAAAAAATAAAGATGAAAAACGGGATCGTCCGAAAAATTTAGCGACATAAATTTATCTTCCACATTACAACATTTAGAAGTTGCAAATCCGATTGATAACGAAAAATATATATATATATATAAAGACTTACTCGGGGAGGTATAACAGTCACATGTAGGCGATTCCACGTGCCAAAATGACTATATCGGGTCATGCTACAATAAATATAATACCCAAGATCTTTTTTTCAGTCGAACGTAACCGATAAACGACCCTCATCACCTTTTCTGTTTCTTTTTTTTGACAATCCTCGAACGAAATCAGCAATCATCACGATGGAGCCAATAGTATGAGAGGAAGTTTTGCGGAAAATAAGTAACGGGTGGTTTACGTTAATTTTCTTTTCCTTTACGCGTGATTTGGGGCTCTATCCTCCTCGTGACCTTGAAAAGCTAGCGATAATCTTTTCTCTTGTTGTGAATATCTTTAGTTAGGACCATGTGGGTGTTGTGAGTGAAAGAGTTGAAGGGAGGGTATAAGAAGTGTACTTGTTGGGTGTTTTTTTTTGGTTTCTTTCTTTTTCTTCATCACCGACAGTGTAGAGTTTTTATAATTAAATCTATTATATTACTTTGTAGTCCTTGGTCACTTTAAAATCAGCCCCCTCTAAGAGGGAGATCTTTAATTTTAGTAGTGTTATTTTTTTATTTTTTTTTGTTCGAAATCAACCAGGTTGCTAGTTAGTTGCGCATAAAACTGGGAATATCATCCACTTGGGTGTTGAGTATTATTTCATCGCTAGAGCTTTGACCCAATTAGACTTGCACAGTCAAGGCCCAAGTATCTTTATAACTAAGAAAGGGCAGCCTTGAGGCCACTCTAGCGTTCTTGCTCCCAGGGCACTAGTTTTCCTCTTTCAAGTATTGTTTACCGCTTGTGGCAGTAAAATCACTACAGCGGTTGGAAACATATCTGAACAACTTTTTGGAAGTCGGTTAGGAGGTGGTATCTTGACTAGCCTGGGATCATTCCCTCAACTATGGGTGGGCAAAGATGAAGTGAGTGCAACCATTTGGCTATTTTGGACCTAAGATCTTTCTCGGGCTACCATAGAATGTTGATACCTTTTTCTTTCACAGTATAAAAAACAGGGACAATCAGTAATCCATTGTAAGTGCAAGTAGAATGACCCAAATGTGGAAATCAAGAGCCAAATAAAGGCAATATCCCAAATTTATTCTGTAAAGCTCTTGCCAAACTGACACGTGTGGATGAAGAATTGGGGTGAATATGACCAAAATGAGGATATCAGTTCAGTTTTCAATTGATTCATAATCTAGACTATCAAAAGAATATCCTCCTAAATCCATGAGTGTAATGAATGCATCTGATTTATAGTATGGATCCATGAATCTGTTTAACCCAAATTATCACTACATATACCCCAGCTGGAATGTAATTACCAGAACAAGAGTTGACTCATGAGACTAATGCATACAGTAGGAGTAATGCAATCTCAATACATTCTTAGAAAACCAGTTAATTGAAAATCATAGCATACAGTATCTTTGGCTGCAATCTTTGAATTGATTTATAACCCAAAAAATCTGAGTCATTATTCAATCAAGTGATTGTTTACACTACATCAAAAATTGATGAGAGTTTAATATCATCATTTGGTAATTTGGTATAATACCCACTTTACATTCTATAGTAAGTAAAGCTGCTTCAAAGTCAGGAAAAATTGTCATCT